CATAAATGGACGGGTGACAAAACGAAAACAGGAGTGGAACGAACACATCAGTAGAATGACAGAGTTTAGAATAGTACGAATAGCACGAAATAAGTCACCAAATGGACGAAGAAGAATTGGCAGACCAAGAAAAAGATGGTGCGACAATTTAAACAATTTAGGAGGCTAATATTGAAGAAGAAACAGGCTTTAAAGCCTACATACTAGAAGGAAGAAGAAGAAAAAGATCAATGTCTTCTACATCAGAAACTTTCTAATCTAATCTCGGCGGCAAGTAAACCACATTAAGTGAGTCAGCATTTTCACAATCTGAGTCTTCTTCTAACAAAGCTATTAACTCTTTGGTAGTTAGTGCCACCTTCATTTCATATTTCGAGAATTTACTGAAATAAACAAATGCACTAGCATATAAACACATTCACATGATAATAGTTTAGCTTACTTGATTTTAATTTATATGAACTTCATAATATATTTTCATATTTATATAAAAAATAAACACAAGAAAACTTTCAAAAAATTAAGTTAAAAAAACAAATATAACGTTTACAGCACACAGCAATTCTATAAATGGAGAATGATGTGTAATTAAAATTGCAGATTGTTTTTAGTCTAATGAAAAAAAAATAAGTATTTTCCAAAGTTTTCTGTTGTTTGAAGTTCTGTAGATACTCTCTAATAAGAATAAAATTTTACTTTATTTTGTTAGACAACTATAAGATACCTGTTAAAAAAGACATGATAATTTAATAATTAAATCGGTCTTAGATTTAATTTTTACGTAATTACTTATGTGTTTAAATAAATAATTAAATTTTTTTTTGGTATGCCTCTGCAAAATTGATAATTTCAATACGATTTCGTTGAAAAGTTATCGTTAATAAGGGCTTCGTTAAGTACGATGTTGCCAAAATCACCTTCAATTAAAAATTGTTTTAGTATAGCCACTAAATTTTTTAATCGATTATTATTATGACCGTGTACGAAAAGGAACAACAAAGCGATGTCCTTATGAAGTATGTAGAATGTAGAGTGATAAACGCTCTAAATCGTTTAAAGACAATACATATTATTTTATAATTTTCTAAACCCTTTAGTTCTTTATAAAGAATGATACTTCTTTATAAAAAATATTTATTTAATAAATATTTTTTTATAAACCAGTACGAATGACGTATAATATATATTATACTTACGTTACTGCCAAACCTGTATGTACGAAAAATATGGGGGTTGATGAAAAGCCCTATTCAGTTTTATTTTTTAAACGGTGATCTGTAATCCATATATGGCCCGATTTTCTTTAACAAATGCTACAGTAACAATACGTTCGATCACCGAAGTAAAGTAATGACGGTTGCATTTAATTCTTGGATGGTGAACGCTTCGGAACACCATATATTGTCACGTAAAACCTTTTCCTCCGAAACGGCTGCACCGATTTTTATGAAATTTTATATGTGTAATCTGTAGGTCTGAGAATAGGTTATCTATTTTTCATATCCCTAAGTGGCAAGGTCAATAGTAGAATAGATTCAAGATACCGACAAATTGATACATGATATTTACCAAAACGCAACCATGACCGTAATTCTGGACGACAAATTAATAACGGATAATATAAAAGTTAAACGAGGAGTCCGACAAGGCGATATAATTTCACTTAAACTGTTTACCTTGACCCTCGAAGACATAATAAAATCAACAGATTGGGAAAACAGGAATATGTATTAACGGAAAATATCTAAATCATCTTAGATATGCGGATGATATACTCCTGATCTCCTCGGAACGACAAGAACTGGAATTAATGCTGAATGAACTTCATGAAAAATCACTGCAAAAAGGCCTAAAAATTAACTTCAACAAAACAAAAGTAATGACAAACACGGAAGACCAAGAGGCAATAAAAATAAAAACAGAAAAAATAGAACAGGTAAATGAGTATATCTATCTAGGACAAGCAATCAGAGCTAATAAAGAAAATCAAACAGCCGAAATATCGAGACGAGTAAGAATGGGATGGGCAGCGTTCGGCAAACTTTCTTACGTTCTAAAAAATCAAACAATCCCTCTATACTTACGAAGCAAGGTATATAACTCCTGTATCATACCGGTGCTCACCTACGGAGCACAGACATGGACATTTACACAGGTCAATTTGGATAGGATAAGGAAGGCACAAAGAGCGATGGAGAGACAAATGTTGGGTGTATCACTTAGAGATAGAAAACGTAACCAGTGGATCAGAACCAGAACAAAGACAGTAGACGCGATAGAACAAGCAGCAAAACTGAAATGGAAATGGGCTGGACACAATGAACGTCTCCAAGAAAGTAGCTTTCGGGACTAATTTTTTCACTCTCAAGATGATTTTGGATAGCTAGGTACTTGACGAGGACAGGGCTGCTGTTTCGAAATGTTCCATGAAAATATCAGCTATTACGGCAGAGAGGGGAGATCCCATTGGGGCACCTTTGATTTGACGATAGAAATGATTTTGGAATGAAAAGTATGTATTAAACATGCAGTGTTTTATAAGAGATAGTGTGTCTTGGGGGATTTGATGTTTAGAGTCCAAGATGGAAATGGTTTCATCGATGGGAATGTTGGTGAACAAAGAAACAATGTCAAAACTAACTAGTATATCAGAGGGTGAAATAGAAATATTTGCAGAAGATCAATGAAATGAAAAGAGTTTTTGACAAAAGACGAGGCTTTTTCGGCTAATGGTTGTAACAATAAAGCAGAGGGTTTTGACAATTTCTGAGAGGGGCAGTTGTATGCACTGACGATGGATCTTAGGGGAACATTGAGCTTATGGATTTTTGGAAGGCCGTATATCTTTGGAATTCGGGATGATTTTTCTCTGGGTATAAGAGATTTTTTGATGTCTGAAGGTAGAGTAGACTTATTTATGATGGATTTGGTCGTTTTTTCTAGATAGCTGGTGGGATCGTTTGGGACGAGTTTGTATTCTGTGGAATTGAGAAGTTCGAAAATTTTGTCGAAATAATTAGAAGAGTTAAGAATGACGGTCTCATTACCTTTGTCGGCCGGAAGGATGACAATGTCAGGGTTGTTATAAAGCAAGCTTTCCTTAAATCGTGTCGTGACCATCAAGTCATTCCAAAATCTCTTCAAGTTAAACATCACACTAAATCTTCATCAATTTCCAAAATTCTTAGGGCAACTGGTTTTTCGCTTCTTCGAAATTTAATTCATTCCACCCGACGCAACTTAGATACAACAAATTCCCAACTTTTTAAAATTTACAATGACATCCACTCTTTTAATATCCATCCATTATTATGGGACACTTTCGATCGTGTTTCTCACCAAAAAGCCCAACATATTTCTGACAACAAAACCCAAACCCAGAAACGCAAACTGGACCAACTCATCTCTCAACGAAATCCAAAGCCCATTTCGAATCAACAACCTTCTACTGTTGTTCGCAATTTCTCAGATATTCACATATCCGATTCAGCTATCAAAGCTCTATCAAAAGGCTTCAACTTTTCTGTCACACCTCTTTCAATCCCAACTGAGAAAATTATTTGTCAAACTGAAGAAGCTATTTCTCATCTTCCTTGCGACCAAACCAAACTTGCCAGACAAGATGTCGCCAGAATTCTCCGTACTTCCAAACCTCCACCGTCAAATATCAGTCTTTCAGAAAGACGCGCCCTCAAAGAACTTAATAACAACCCTGACATTGTCATCCTTCCGGCCGACAAAGGTAATGCCACCGTCATTCTTAACTCTTCTAATTATTTCGACAAAATGTTCGAACTTCTCAATTCCACAGAATACAAACTCGTCCCAAACGATCCCACCACCTATCTAGAAAAAACGACCAAATCCATCATAAATAAGTCTACTCTACCTTCAGACATCAAAAAATTTCTTATACCCAGAGAAAAATCATCCCGAATTCCAAAGATATACGGCCTTCCAAAAATCCATAAGCCCAATGTTCCCCTAAGACCCATTGTCAGTGCATACAACTGTCCCACTCAGAAATTAGCAAAACATCTCGCTTTATCCTTACAACCATTAGCCGAAAATGCGAATTATTTGAATTATTATATTTTGTACTTTGAAATATATTAGGCAAACCAATATTATTTTCAATTTTACATAGCATAACAATATATATATATATATATATATATATATATATATATATATATATATATATATATATATATATATATATATATATCATAACTTTGACCAATGTATGTTACCTGTACTCACTTATTTAGCGGGAACATTAACACTCACAAAAAAATGTAGTTAATAAGATTCGCGTGACGATGGCTATGGAGCGCCAGATGTTGGGTGATTCTCTGAGAGACCGAATTCTAAAAGAAGAAACACGTCGTAGGACAAAAATAATTGAGGCTATCGAAAAAATCGCGTCGTTAAAATGAAATTGACCAGGACATGTCGCCAGATTATCAGACAACCGATGGACAAAAAGTACTTTACAGTGGAGACCAAGGCAAGAAGCAATACGGAGCAGAGGACGGCCACTAACTAGATGGACTGACGACCTGAAGCGTGTTATCAATAACTGGATGCAAGCCGCATAAGAAAGAAACAGATGGAAAGAGCCGAGGGAGACCTATGTCCAGCAGTGGACGCATACATGTTGATGATGATGATGAGCAGGTGTGCTTGGTTGTATCTAAAGTGTTAAAGACACTTTCTGTCTTGGAAGACAAAATTTTTTTAACATAGCAAAAAAATACTAAATATTACAAATAATACTAATTACTAAATTTATTGAACAGTTGGGACTAGCATCAGTGAACCTAGTATAAACCTTTATTAATTAAGTGAGTATACCACTATGTATTTCCTTACCAATTTGTATATAGTATTGTTTTTTTATATTATTTTATATTATTATTTCTATACCTATATTATAAATTATCTCCATCTTCTCTATTGCTTTGTTATAGTTGTTTAGAAATAAAAAAGGAACTTTTACAATTAATATTTATTCAAAAACCAGTAATATAACTTACAAATTAAAACAACCTTCAGTACATTTAAATAAAAAAATAAGGTCAAAAAATACGAGCTTTTAGCTCTTGCCACCCTGACTAACCATACATGTAAAACATAAGGCGATCGATATTTCTTGTATCTAATGAAAATCGGTTGGCAAAGTGGCTTACAATGAGGCGATCGGATAAGCTAAACTCTCTAGCGGTACTGTCGGTCAACTAGAGATGAATTGATATATTAGGTCTTCGAAACTAAGACAAACCGAGCCTAACTTATTTAGATCACCTCATACAATAATGACCCAGTGTTTGGTGACAAAGAAAATGTTATTCACATACTATATTGAAACTGGCAGTATAGCCAAAAATACTAATAATAATAAACGAATATCTAAAATGAACAAGCAAAACTATTAAAAAACGAAACAAAATAGCTAAACCCGATTAAAATAACCCCAAAAGCTGTGGTAAAAATATCATGTTCTTGGCCACATATAAGACGTCACATTGGTGGTTACGTCACACGATTTTTTTAAGGTTAGGTACAAATCTTGATTCTAAATAAAGCAAACTATTGTTCTAGAGGGAGAGATTGTTCTAGAGAGAGAGAGAAAAATTTTGTTTCGAAATATAGTAGGTATTGTCTTAATATAGCAAGGTAAACTATGCTGAAATATTTCTGAAGGGTGTCAGGTGAGTTGCTATGGAGATAGGTTTGTTTATAATCAAGAGATGAATCGAACCTTTAAAATAGGCAGGATGACGTCACATTAATGTGGCGTTCATTGTCGGACGTGTAAACAAAGGGCCAACTCCAAGTCTTCATCATATTATAGAATAGACGTTTTAAAAACCGTTACAAATATCTAATACGTATATATAATATTGAATAAACCATGTATATATTATGTATGTACTATTACCAGAAATACTATTTATGAAAATCAGTTGATTTTGATATAGGTTAAGCAGAGGAACAAGAGTGCTTAATTAAGGTACACGAGCTGGCTTTCACCAGAAAGATTAATGTTAATATAAGTGATTGTTACAGGGATTTCAAATCCACACAGTTCGTACTAGTTTTCTTGGCTGGAAAGTCTTTAGAAATATTGTTAAAAAATTATGGTAGTATATATTTTATGGAATATGAGCGACAAATTGTTGTAAAGAACACAAAATGTAAATAAAAAAAGGATATTATCAAAAAGATAACAGGATATAAAGTCTATTCAGATAGAGTTTATATCAGTGTTAATTGGCAATCATAATGATTCAATCAAATAAGATCATTATCAAATTAGTGATATCGGTATCTTCATCAGACTCTGAATATATTAACCGTAATTAGACCGATAGTGCTCTTTGGCAGTAAAATTTGGACTCGTTTGAAGCTCATATTAAAGATCTAGAACTATGGGAAATATGGGTGTTTAAAAATACTTGGTGGATAACCAATAATTTAAAAAACTATACAAAGGAAATAGTATAACCGGGGATATAAAAGACTACTGAATATGCTGGTCCATGTAATAAAAATACCAGTTACTAGAATGAAAAATCAAATTTTAACTAGAAAAACTAGAGAAAAGAAGCAAAGAGGAAGGCCAAAAGATATTATATGTAAAGATGAAGTGGAAAAAGATTTCCTCCCGTTAACAAAAAAAAGATATACAATATCCGTAGCTTCAGAAGAATCAAATACCATATAAAAATAAATAAAAATTATATGACTTCGAACAGACCATAAAAAAACACAAATAAAACACGAGACAAATATATTGCTTTCATATTATTGAAAGAGATTTTCTTATAATAGGAAACGAAATAATAAATATAAGAGCACCAAAAATCTAAATGATTAATATCTCTTTCTCACAAGAAGACAATCAAGATTTAAACAAAAAGATTTCTATTAAGGGCATTTCTACAAATACTGATAATGATCTAAGTCTGTTAAAGTATATAAGGTAACATTAATGGTCGAAAACGAATGAAATTAATTTTACCATAAAATATTGATTTTGATAAAAGGATAAATGGAACAAACAAAAAATTCTAATAAGAATATTAGCTGCTACTTTGGGTATTTATGAAAACTTCTTGATAGAGCAAAAAACACCGTAAATATATGAGTAAATAAGGTACAAAACACCTTAAAACGATATTAACTATAAATATACTTGAACTATTTTTATGCTATTAATCCTACTAGTACACTAAAAACTAAATAGTAATGTTCGGTAATAAATTTGTGTATCTTCCCACAAAAAACAAACATTAATTTACAATTTCATGTCAGTAATATACGATTTTGAATTATACATACATACATACATACATACATACATACATATATATATATATATATATATATATATATATATATATATATACATAAAAAATTTTGAAAAAAAAACTTCTTTGGACTGATCAATGAAAAGAGGATATGGAGATCGGGAAAACCATAAACTGAAGAACGGTTTGAAGAAACGCCCATTTCAGAATGCGCAGACTTTGATGGACTGGTTATGCAATGAAGATCGATGTTCAAAAATAACCTTAGACAAAAAAATGCATGCGGAATACCGAGAAGATACTGAAAAGAAATGAAAGTAAAATGTATTCTACGATGTTGCATGCAGAAATTTAAGGACGCCAAGTCCTAATTTAACCAAAGAACATTAATTAAAAGAAAAAACTAATTTTAGTAAATAGGAGAGAAACGTCTGCTAAAAATACTGATTTCACATAAAAGGAGAACATATTGAGGCAAAGGTTGGGAAAAGATTAAGACCATCAATTGGAAGTCAAAGAATATAACTGTATTTAAGAGAAATGGAAAACAAATAACAATTATATATATATATATATATATATATATATATATATATATATATATATATATATATATATATATATATATACACTATGAAATAAACTATTTGTACGCCAGAATTAATTAAAGAATTTAATGTGAATAGCTTCCCTGTTAACAATTCTCTGGAAATCAAATGTCAACGGACTTGTTGCCCAGTTGGTATCTTTCGACATACAGACGTGACAGATTGGAAAGAATCGTTGACATTTGACAGACGATAACTGGCAGTTGACAGATAGCTTCAAGTCGAAATTTCGAGATTTTATGATCCTAGCGTAACTTTGTTAGCGACAAAATGAATAGAATTGACCTAAATAAACATTAACAAAACACAATGGTCAACCTTGATTCCTATTTGACATATTAAACATTTAATTACTTAATAACTAAAAGATAAAGAAATTCTGTTGGAATATTATTACAAATTAAAATTAATGAGCCCAAGATCATGAATTACCAGATATTTACAACATAAATACCTACAATACAAATGTTTCTGTTTTTCACCCGAGTTTTCTACAATTTACATTTTTGTACTTCTGTGGTAAATTGCTTTCTATTTATTCACTAATCTGAAAATTCGAAATTTGATATTTTAGACATGCTAGAAAAGTTAAGAGAAACAAAGTGTCTATATCAATACTTTAAGAGTTTTTAAAAAACAGTTCAAACATTAACAGATAATATAGATATAATAGTTAAAAAGTATTTGAGCAGCTGGTAACAAAAACCGTCAACCAGTGGAAATTTCAACAAAATGCAAACAAAACTTTTTTCTATGCGCTAAATACCATTTTGATTTGTGTCGTACCTTATCTACTCATATTTTTACGGTGAGTTCTTGGTCTATTTCGGAGTACGAACTGTGAAGATTAAATACATAAAAATATTTTTATCAAAAATTGTTAAATGCCACAGCTCAACAGGCGAGGGTCGGGTGAGGATGTGTCAGGGTAACTAACACAACATGTTCATAAAACGATTGGTCGGAAAGAGGGACTAAGGTCAAAATATTCGTCGACGACGACGACGACGCTATATTATCTATAATAAAAGAAAGGAAAAAGGTTATTATCAAGCATATATGGGTGCTTAAGGCTTTTAGAGATAAAACAAACACTTTTCATCTATGTTATAATAACACACCATTAATAATATCAGATAATCTATGTGCCTAGCTTGAATATAGAGCTTAGCGATTAATTATTGTTAATACCTTATCACTAACAAAATCTTTGGAAAGAGATAACAATTATTAATATTTTTAAAAATGTATACACTTTTCTCTCTTAATTCGTTTAATATGACAGGACTAAGACACAGTTAATTTATTCGTTTCCCACACGACGCTTGAAATCAACCAACATATTTTTTATTGTGCATATCCTCAAGTTTTTTTTAATATGTACTCGAAAATAAATACAATTTTCTATTTTTTCGTTTTGATTGTATTATTTTGCCCTTACTACCATCGTATTTTGAGTACTAAGGTAAACATGCTGAGGTATGGTCCTCTTATTTGGTTATATCAAAATTTTCAGTGTAATTTGGTAGTACACTGAAATAGTACAGTTTGTTAAGTCATAAAGACTGGTACAACTTTGACACGTGAAAATAATGTTTCAAAAGAGACCTCAATGAGAAATTTTTTATGAAAGAATTAAAGCAAATGATGTAGGAAAGCAAATGATGTAGGAAAGCAAATGATGTAGGAAAGCAAATGATGTAGGAAAGCAAATGATGTAGGTCATTAGGTAGAGAGATGAGTATTATCGGTAATAAGATTTCTAGTAACCGTGCGAATAAAGGTGGTAGTACACCTTTTATCGGACTAGAGTTATGCTGCACTATATTAAAATGCCGCAGAGTGATTGATGTCCGCAAATGAAAAAAAAAGGAACTTAGTGAACCTACTGGAAAAACATTTCAGGCTAAAGACAGACAAAAAGGTTTTTATAACCAACTACACAAAAATACTCTTACAGCTTCAGAAGACTGAGTAGTAGAAGCAGATAGTAGAAGACAGTAACTCTGTAAAAAAAAGTATAAATAGCAACATGCAGATTCTGCAAAACCGCAAAATGCGGAGGAAACGACCGAACGCACTGTCTTTAACAGCAAAGTAATTATGCGTCTAGGCCACAAACGCCAAGAACAAGTCCTAGAACCTAATATGGTAACAAACAGCTCCGAAACAGATACTCGGCTTAGAAAGCCTAGATCTGTTGGGACTAAATGTAGGTGTACGTCATTTACAAAAAAAATATTCGAGGTCCCAGTGTGGAAGGATCTACGAGATCAACTGACCTTTTTAAAATAAAGAGCAAACTTGTCGCGTTCATTCATATGTAATCATACTACCATTGTTATGAGAAAATAAATTTTGATACAACCAAATATCGAATTGATAAATATGTTGGCTAAAAGCAAGAACAACCGCGTTAACACAAGAACAAACAAGGTGTACTTAAAAAAATTGTCCCTGTGTTGTATAAAAATCGGCGGATAGAGGGGATTAAAATTATGATATGTTGTCCATTCACACATATTGAAATAACATTTGTACTTTTAAATGACTATAAAAAGTGTCTAATTGAAGCCACATTTGGGACATTGCAATGATTTTCCTTAATTTTTGTAATATATTAACCCACACAGCTTTAAAATGTCTCAAAAAAATAAAATCGGAATAAAAAATATATTTATATATAATATATATGGCAAGTACACTTCCTACCTTTTAATATCTTATTGCTTAAATATATCTTGCATAAAAAATATTTAAAATTATAGGCTTTTATTTATTTCTCGTTAGAATAAAACTTAAGCTCACGAATCGTTGAAATGGAACCCTCGAGGATTTTGTAAATAAGTAGAGCACCTCCGCAGAGTTTCATTTCAAATAAAAATTCGGTTAATTCTAACTCAAAATGTAAATTCAAAACAATAAAAGGATAATAAAAAGTGTGTATATATAAATATGAAATTTATGGAAAATATAAAAATGAGTTAATATGAAAAAATTATCGTATAATTATGTGTATATATCAATTATTGTTAAGTCGAAACAAGTAAAAATATAAGGTTCAAAAAAGTTGCCTTGATGTAACTTTGCGATCATCACTTATGAATTTATTTAACAACGTAGATATATCAAGAAAAGGAGATAATCACGAAAAAAAAAACATTGCGTCCAATCAATTGGTGAACAAGAAAATGGTGAAAATGGCAAGAATTTTTAAAGTAAATTCACATCAAGGAAGTCATGTAAATATCTAATGTATAACGTAGGTCTTGAGCACAGTATAAAGAGGTTCCACCTCTTTATACTGTGGTCTTGAGCAGCGAGGCAATAGGGTAATCAGTAACGACTCTGCCGCAAATAGTTATCAACAGAAAGTGTCTAATTCATAATAGCATGCTTTTGGTTGTCGTTGTTATACTAGTTCTTTCATTTCTTATACTGTGTACTGATACTGTGTACTGATACTGTGTACTGATACTTTCTTTCGTAGATATTTTTTTATACGAGGCTTTTTTATGCATGCTTTTTTGTTTTAATTTGCATAAATTTTGCTTTAAGCTAGAAAAATGTTGTGCGAAAAGTACCAATGCAAAATTACATTGAAGGTAAATCTATGAACAAAACGTAGATAAAATAAAAGTTCAAACGGTTTGAAAATGGCCACACGTTTATTGAGACTGATATTGTTTTGGCCGACCTTTCAGCGCAACAATAACGGAAAATATCGAACGTTTTAGCCTAAAGCTCATGACTTGATCAAAGTGTGCCAACTTCATTACCAAAATTGCTCACACAGTGCAGAAAATTCACTTAAGTCACGCTGGACAACTTCGACGTTACATTCTGAGACTTTCTAGCAAGATGAAAATGCCGTTCAAATGGCTTAGAAGCTATTAACATTGCTTCTGTGACATGGAAATGTCTTGATTTGCCGAATGGGGACTACTTCGAAGGTTGCCATGAGCTGAATGGCGCAAAACAAAGCATTGCGGAGTTATGAACGAAGGTCAGTTTCAAGTTAAACCATTTTTGTGTGTTATAATATTCGGGTATTCTTTTTCCATCTGGACCTTTTTCTAAGCAACTTACCTAAGCATGTCCGATGTAGATTATATTGTTGTTCATTCCGATATATGTGAACCAGGTATTTCCAATATATGTTAACCCTAGAAGAACGGAGAGTGCGTAGCATTTTAATAAACGAACTTTTACTTTTTATATCGTGACTATTAAAGATTTCTTTCATTTTGCTGATATTCCCTTCTCGATCCTTAATTTCTGTCGAGTGTTCCACCTGTTCGTTTAAATTTGCACCCAAATTCAGTAATAAACCCGTCCAAAGAAGTTACACAATGTTATAATTGGCGCAGATGGGATTTACCACGTTACAATCATTAAGCTGTAAAAGCTTGACAGTTTATCTCAGATGGAAACGTAGTGATCAAAAAACAAATGTTTAGTATTAAAAACCAGCCTAGATAGTAATGAAAGAAACTAGGAAAGGACTATTATTGTCCACAACAGTTTGCTTTTTAATAAAATACATAGAAAAAAGAAGAAAATATTTTCACTGAAAATACAAACAATGACAAAGAAAACCTAAACGAAGTAATAGAATGACGGATGCAAAATTTATGTGACATAGATAAAGGTAAGTTCAGAAATCACTATACGTAGAACAAATGACAAACATTGATTCGAGTAATGATTGCCATTTAATCATCATTCTAAACAACCTACAAACCCTGTATTATTAAAGGATTGTCAACACCAGAAAACTTTGATTTAAAATATGCCTAGACATACTAATACCTACTTAAAAAATATTGTCTTTTAAAATTGAAAAAAAAAAAGGTAACTACATTCATCTTTTGGCAAAATTTTAACACTTTTTGTTGCATAAACATATTCAAAACCAAAGTTTAAAGCAATTCGCGAATGAGAATCGACTAAAGCTACATCATTGGCCAATTGTCTGATTTTCCTTGCGTGCCTGCAAAAATTAAATTCCATATGAACAGTATTGTACTTTTTAGAATTATTTTGTGCCGTTTTGAAGCACTAAAGGTTGTAAACGTTAAGAAACGCTCCCAAAGGTTACCTTTATAGGACTATCTGTGAACTGTCACATACATGAATAGTTTATGTGCTTTATATAGATATTTAAAATGCCAACAAAACGTATTAACTAGTCCAGAAAATAGCAGGTTGTAACTTATAAAAGGTATAAGAAAGTTTATTTTGGCGGGATCGTCGGTCAAAACATGTGATTTAAATCACTGACGCTTGCGCAGTGGCTATTCTCCTTGTTTTGTTTCTTACACACTATATACCGTTGATAACGAAACTAGTAATATTATGTACAAAATACAATGATTCCAAAGTGGATCCCTCACTTGCTTTCAAGATTGCCATACGATATTGCCGAAATAATTGCAAAAAAGATTTTTCAAGAATAAAGATCCTATATGGAGCCTCAAATGAAGTTTTCCAAAATAGAATAACCGTTCTAGAGCATCATATCTGCTAAATATACACTTTCTGGTAGCTTTAGCACCTCCACTTTGGTACATCCCACTTTAATTGTCTGGACTGGACAGTACAAGCATTTTTCTTCTACAAAACTTAAAATTTAATAAAAACATCTAGTCAGGTTTTAACTTTTGTAGAAGAAATTAATACAGATGTAATCATATTTTTAGTTGAAAAACACGAAGCGTTAACTTTTTAATAGAATTAAAACATATTCAGGTATAAAATGTTCTCAGAATAACCTAAATGCAAAAATTGTCTCTTAGCTATATTTAAAAACATTTAAAAGGTACCACGATTTTAAATAGGGGAGAAAGGGAAATGTATTTCACAACCTTTATGGTCTGAAATGGTGATTATTAAAAGCCTAAAGGGCTCTCTACAGAACATCAATATATTTTTTTGTAAATTTTTTTAGGTTTTATTAAGTAACAATCTCCAATATTTTGAGCACAAATACACATGACACAGAAAATTCTGGCGTATT